AGGGGGTGTCGCCGCTGCGGGTTTGGGGCTAGTCCCGCGTCCCGGCCTCTGGCACACGGCAGGGAAAGCAAGCAGGGCCGGTGCCAGCGTGAAAATKATTGACAAGGGGTAAAGTCGGAAATCTCGTTTGATGGGAATGTAAACTCGGGCGGATTAGGAGGCAGCCGCGAAGGTGCCGAGCCGGCTTTGCGCTCCTCGCCGCTCTCAGCGCACTGTGCACAGCGGGATTAGCGGGCTGCTCTTCCAGCATCGCAGAGAAGCAACGAACCCCTGCGACATGGGCTGCCGTTAACATTTTGCATCGTTGCTTTTGGCTCTTGCACGACCTTAACCACGGAACAAGGGTTAAGACCTGAAAGGGATGTGTGCGGGGAGCGGGGGGTCGTATCTGCTACTCATCTCTTTTGCAATGTCCTCTTGAAGGTCTGCCAAAGGCAGAAGTGCAGTTTGTTATCCGTGCTAGGAGCACTGCGCACCCCCTATACGTTAGTGCTATAYATTAATGCCTCTGCCGCTAGCGCCGCCCGGCTCCGGCTCGGAGCCCTCGCAGCGAGGCTGACAGCGCGGAGGCTTCGCATTTGCTCTGATCTCGAAACATTTCGCTTCCTATTTTACCCCGCGCCTATCACGTTTTATTTACACCGACAGAGGATGCTCGGAGACAAAAGAGGTTTTTTTTTTTTTTTTTTTTTTTTTTTTACGTCAAAGATGTTTTATATTTTTGGAAGGGTTGTGTTTCCTTTTAAAGAGGTGACCTATATCCTGACCGCTGTAGGGGGTTTATTTTGATGCTCCGGGAAGTTCACTTGGAGCTGTGCAGAGCTGGGAGGAGATTAAAAAAAAAAAAAAAAAAAAAAAAAATCCACTTTAACCTTGTCATCTGGCATAGGAAAAGCAAAGCTCTACCCACATACAGCCGGTGGAAGTAGTCGCGGGTGACACTCGGCAAGGCCTTTGCAGAGTGTCCTCCTGCCTCGGCTGCCGTGCAGTGACAGGGACAGGATGGGAGGCATGGGATGAAGGCAGCCTCGGGATGGGGGRTAGATGGAGGAAAGCAACACAGCAACAAAATCTTAGACTGTAGGTGGTCTTCCGGGCAGCCTGAAAGCTGAGAAACTCATCTCAGCACGTTGAAGAGACCAAATGCCTGGGAAACCAGGATCTTTCCAGAGGAGAGGGGAAAAAAAATGTCTTCGAGCCCCCAGTGTCCAATGTTCGCACTTTCCCCTCTGCGGTGCCCTCGGGCCTTAGGAGCCCGCAGAGCTTCCACTCCCTGCAGGATGCACTGGGAAGCCGGGATCCCGCATCCCCAGCGTGGAGGTCTCGGGTGGCTCCCCTTCTCCCACCTGCTGAAGCCAATTTCCCCTTGCCCAAACTTTGCTTCTCGTATGGGTTTTCCCTCCTTCCTAATGCACTGGGCAAAACCACCCGGTTGGGAAAGCTGTGGAGCAAATATAGGGGAGGAAGAAAGTTGTAGCTCTATGAAGTCGCSATCACTGCCTTCACGCAGGTGCCCTGAGACGCACTTCGTTCCTCACGCACCCCTGCATTGCTATAAAATATCCCAAGGGATCTTCACTTGAAGGCTGCCAATCCGCATGGTGATGCCTATGGGACCCCTTCCCCCGCAAAATGCTGCGGGAGCTGAGTGCGTTTCTTGTGGGGAACATGTTGGGTGGTGCTTTGGGGGCTGGGCTGGATGAGGGGATTGTTGTTGGCTCTGTGTGTCCTCCATGGGAAGCAGGCCCCTGTTTTTTGCCGTGGGTGTCCCTGTCCGCCCTTGGGAATGGGAGCTGCTCCCGCGCCCCCGGGTGCTCCTGGCTGTCGGGTGCCGCGGCCTTCCCGCTTCCTCCCCTGCCTGCTCTAAGGAAAGAGCCCCTGTCCCTTCCTCAGATGCCCCCGGGCAGAGGGTCCCGATGCAGCCTCCAGGAAGACGCCTATAAAAAAGTCACGCCTGCTGCCCGTGCGAACTCAAAGAAAAGGAGGGGAGCGGCGGGGGGAGAAGAAAGCGGAAAAAAAAAAAATCTCCAAATAAACACTGGGATCGCACGGCTACTGCCAAAGGTCCCGAGGAGTCAAGAGGTCCCGGGAGCAGCACAAAGGACGGGGCAGCATTGMGGCGAGCCCCGGCCCTCGACGGCTCTTCTGGCCCCTGAGGCTCCTGCAAGTGGCTCCGGCGGGAAGAGCCGCATCCCGGCACCCCGAACCCCTCCTCAGAGGGGAAAACCTGCGGGGCTTAAGGAAAGGCGCTTTTACAGTGCTGCGGGGATTTGCTTGAGTTTCAGTCTCGGGTTTAATTGAAAAAACGCTTGTCATCTGCAGGACCTCGGAGCAGAGAAAGAGCCCGAAGCGCGCA